TAAGACTATGTCGCATAAAAAGAAACTTTTGCCAGGACAGCCTCCAAAGCCACAGAGAACCCCGTCTCAAAAAACCAAAAAAAAAAAAAAAAAAAAACTTTTGAAAAGAGATGTAGTAGAGTGATTAAGTAGCATGTAGTACTAAGCCAGTTGGGAAGAGGGGAAAGAGGGAGGGAAAGAGGAATGCAGAACTTTCAGGATTCACACACACACACACACACACACACACACACACACACACACACACCATGTAGCCAGCCTGGCCTAGAAACTTGCTGTGTAGCCAAGGCTAACTTTGAGCTCCTGGCCCATTTCCCTGGTTCTGATATTACAAGCATGAGCCAGGATTTTAAAAATTACAGGTGTTAGTGGAAATAAGAGAAACCAGAACCCTCATGCAGTGCTGTGGAGAATGGAAAATGGTGCTGTGGAAAATCGTCTGCTAGTCTGGCAGTTCCTCAGAGGGCTCAACAGGCTCGGCACATGATGTAATAATTCCATGCCAGACTATAGACCCAATAATAGTGAAAACATATGTCCACTGAAAGCTTGCTCAGGAGTTTTCATAACAGCATTACTTATAATACCAAAGCAGAAACATCCCAAGTATCTATCAACTGATAAGCAAAATTATTGTATTCCTCACAATGGAAAAGTCTCTGCCAAGAGCCAAGAAGATGGTTCTTCAGGTAAAGGTACTTGCTGTGTTGCCTCAAAACCTGAGTTTGATTTCCCAGAAGGATAGAAGGGTAAGAGTGTCTCCCCAGATTTGTCCTCTGACCTGCATATGTGAGTTGTGGCATGCATGTGCCTATACTCAAACACACACACACACACACACACACACACACACGAAGACACCAAAAGTAACAACAACAATAATTATTAATAAAGCCAGATGGTGGTGGCGCACGCCTTTGATCCCAGCACTCGGGAGGCAGAGGCAGGCGGATCTCTGTGAGTTCGAGACCAGCCTGGTCTATAAGAGCTACTTCCAGGACAGCCTCTAAAACCACAGAAAAACCCTGTCTTGAAAAACAAAACAAAAACAATGATTATTAATAATGATAATAATAAGTAAAGAGAATTATCTGGCAATAAATGATAAACTGTGGATACATATAAAATTCAACATTGTTTCACTTGTGGCCGACTCACAATACTGAATACATTATACATTCTAAACAACAGTTTAGATCCCAGAACTCAGGAGGCAGAGACAGGAGGATCTCTGTGAGTTCAAGGCCAGCCTGATCTACAGAGCTAGTTCCAGGACAGCTAGAGCTGTTATACAGATAAACCCTAACTGGAAAAACCACAATCCAATAATAATAATAATAATAATAATAATAATAAGAAGAAGAAGAAGAAGAAGAAGAAATTTGAAGGTATGTGAATTATATCTTGATAAAGCTGTTAAAGAACACATAAGAAAATGGAAAAAGAAGTATGGAAGGGATAACATCAAATAGTTAGTAGTGCTTCCTTTTCAATATAAGCATGTTACAGGTGTCTCTATTTTATTTCTGAGATAGAGTCTCATGTATCTCAGGCTGGGCTTAAAATACATAGCTAAGGATGGCTTCAACTCCTGTTTCTCCTGTTGTCTCTTCCCAGTGATGGAATTACAGGTATGTGACACTAATGGTTTTCTTTGTTAATCTTAGATTATTTTTAGTAGGTTAAAAAAGGCATGGGTGGCATTGGTCTCCAGCCTTTATTGCTAGAAAACATGCCTGTAAATCCATCTACCAGCTGACCTGAGTACCCATCAGACCAGAAAAGGCCAGGGGCATTGGTTTGGAGAATCTTTTCCTATGCGCTGAAAGGTATTTCTAAGCCCATCTTCAACTTCTCTTAAGACTGTTTGCTGTGCCAGACTGTGACAGAAGATATGACTGCTCTGATATAAAGTCTTGGCCAATCAGCCATCCCTGTTAGTTCTGACCATGAAGCTGCATGGTGGCTGCCAGGGACAAGGATCTTGGAGTTGCACAGTACAAATGCAGCAGGAGGAATGAGACCTGCCTTCTGGAATCTATTCAGTAGATAGGGGCTAAGGGTTAGAGTGTGTGCCTAGCAAGCATAAAGCCCAAAGTCAGTCCCCAGCATGGCATAAAACTGGGCGTGCTGACGTATGTTTGCAGTCCCAGCATTTGAGAGGTAGAGGCAGGAGGATGGGGGGGGCAATGCTGACTTGGATTACATGAGACCTTGTCTAAAATCAACATCATTTGTTGGGGAAATGAATTAAGATCAGTCTGGAAAGCCAGGCCTGGTGACACAGGTTATATTCCCAGCTGCTTGGGAGGAAAATGTTTTGAATTTTGATTTTTCCCCCCTATTCTCATATCACAATCACAGCTGAAGACCTCTGGGATCCCCAGAGTTGTTGGGGAATTCTGTTAGAACAAAAGTAGTCAGTTCTGCAGCATCTCCGAATCTTTTAAGTCAATTCAAGTCTGAGTCAAGCTTCCTGGAGACAGTGTTGGACAGAGCACACAGTTCGAGGACCATGTTCCCACCACCATTTTTCCTTCTATAAGTGTTAGTTAACATGCCTAAGATTGTCTGATTGGCCCAGTTAGCAACTGGGGTTCCCACAATTCCTTCCTGGAGTACCACCAATTTACTTAACTGGTTCATAGAACTCAGGGGAACACTTATGTCCATCATTTTGTTACCAAGGATACAGACTATGAGACACACAGGATGAGGAAGGAGGAGTGGCTTCGTGGTCCCCTCCAGGTGCATGGCCCCAAAGGAGTCTCTCTGACCTCTGCCCTTCGGGTTTTTATAAACACTACCCTGTATGCCTAATGCTATGCTGGGTGTGGAAACCCAGCAAGGCCTGTCAGTCTAGATTCTTCTTGACTTCTCTGTGCAGTATTCCTTCCTCCAGGGTATGGGGTATGGGGCAAGACCCTTCATGACACTACTTTATACAAGGTAGGTCAGACAATTTCTGAGCAAGCAGCAGCTCCAAAGTAGGGGTGGAAGAGGGGTAATTTGAGTTTCTGTGACTGACTTGGGGAAAAAATGAAATTCTATTTTATGTGATCTGCCTTGGAAACAGAGTTCTAAGCCAGGAACTGTCAAAGTACATAACCAGGTGGCAGTGCACACCTTTGATCCCGTCATTTGGGAGACAGAAGCAGGTGGATCTCTGAGTTTGAGGCCAGCCTGGTCTGCAGAGCAAGTTCCAGGACAGCCAGAGGTGCACAAAGAAACCCTGTCTCAAAAAACCCAAACAAACAAAGAAATCATAGAAACATACAGATAGAGGGATCCTAAACTACGAAGGGCCTTTCCCCACAGTAACACATTTAGCATATTCCTGTGTTTCCTGTAGAGCACTGATAGAAAACATCTAGAATGTTCTCTGATTCATTTTATTAATCAATGACATAACAACAACAAATAACAATTGCAAGAAGCTATCTTAGAGATACTAGGGCAAATGACACCTTCCAGCATGTAGAATCTTCCAAAGTCTTGGTCATAATCATAGTCTATGAACCTAAGAGAAATTGTTCGTAAGAAAAACCCCAGCACAGCAGCCCTAAGATCTTGAAGACCCTCTGCCTGTAACAAAGACAGCAAACACAGGAAGAGACAGCACAGGTGTGCACAACGCTGAAGACTACAAGAAATAATGGCTGGAAGCCTAGCTTTTGGAGCCAGTCTGGGTTCATTTCCTGTGTCAAGCCAGTCACTAAACCACTCTGGGTCCAGGTTCCTTGGTAAAATGAGAATTTAACAAGCCACCCCACCCATGGGGCTTTCACACAGCCTTCCATTCACAGTAGCTCTAGAGCTGGTCTATAGGCATTCATAGCTTCCAGCCAACCAAGTCCTCCCTGCCAGTCAAGCTGCAATTTCCTCAAAAGATGGCTATTTTATTTTTTAGCTAAGGGCATGGCAGAACACTCCTGTAATCGCATTTAGGAACCTGAGACAAGAGTACGGAGTTTGAGGCCAGGCCAACCTGTAGGCAAAGTAATCTGGCCTCAAGACCCCAAAACCTTAAACCCTTCTAAGCATGGGGGAATTAAATTTGTTTTAAGTGACACTTAGCTTTCTTGCTTCCTGTTTAAGAGAGAAGAGAAAGTAGAATTGGCGTTTTGGGGCGCACATATACTGAGGGCCAAGAGAGGAGAGCCCATCGCTGTGAGGCTGAGCAGCCAGAAGGAAGCCAGGCAACCCATTTTCTAGGTCTGCTCCCAAGTTGGGTTTTTTTTTTTTTTTTTTTTTTTTTTTTTTGGTTTTGTGTTTTGTTTGTTTTTTTTTTTTTTCCTTAAACATTCTGTGACAGAGCTCTTTTAAAACATGTCTTTTGAAAAGCACGTTTAAATGTATAAGTGATTCTTAGTAGATGGGAGAGATAAAGAAGGCTGAAGCACCCGAGGACCATAACAACCTACTCTCCATGATGAAAACACAGCACCTTTCCACTCTCTCCACCAACCCTGACTACTCTGCCAGACCCATAGACTCCGCCAGCTACTCCCTTAGTTCAGCCCCAATCCCTCCTTGGAGTGGAACACCCCACCTGGAGACCTGATTACTCATCTGCCCGAAAGCTTGGTGTTCTTCCACGAACTAGCCTTGGCGCCCCAAGCAGGACTCTCTCCCCAGGCTCAACAAAATCGCCTATGACTGGTCCCTTCCGAATTCCACCCCACAGGCAGCCGTTCTTCTCTGGGAATCCGTGGGGACTGACTTTGTTCTTATGATCCCACAGCGAAGAAGGGACATCCGATGGCATCAGCCAGGAACTCTAGAAGTTACCTATGGGAGCCAGGGGTGCTAACATATTGGAAACAACTGAAGACCCCCAGGCAGTATGAATCTTGAAATAGATAGGAGCCCCAGCAGAGAATGCAGAAACAGAAGAGCAGTAAGTAGATGTTGGGTGCAAGGGTGCTAGGGTTACCACGCAGACTCGGATCCCGAGCCCTGAAGCAGCCGCCCCCAACCCAGCCGGTGCCCCGCTCTACCTGAGCTGCTGGCTGCGCTGCTCCGCGCTGCCCGCCCGCGGCGCATACAAAGAGCCGCCCAGTCAGTGGTGGTTCTTCGCCCCGGGCCGCCAGGGCGGGAGCACAGCGAGGAGGCAGCCAGTTGGCCCCGGGCTCCACAATCCTCCCCAGACAGTACCGTGGGGCCACGCCTAGGGATGCGGGTAGGGGATTGCGAAGCCAGGAAGAGGGAGGACACAGGTGGGCTTCAGGAACCACACTGACCGCCCCCCCGACCCCCCTCCCGGGAGGTGTGGATGATCAAGCCTACTGGCAGAGCCACCGCTTGGACCGCTAATGGACCGAAAAAAATCTGTCCCCGGAGGAGAGAAGCTTCTGGTAGGACAAAAGGCCCTTGTGCAGGAAATTGAATCTTTATCTTGCCCCCTCCTCTGAGGGTGGCATCTTTGCAACTATCCAAACAGACACTGATTCCAGGAGGACCCGGCTGCCTTCTGGGCAACAGAGGAGTGGGGGAGGGGCCGAGAGGACAGGTGGCTTTTGGAGCAGGAGGACCAGCTGCCATCCCCTCCGGGTGCAAGCCTCTACACAGAGGTGCGGGCTTGATAAAAGGTCCAGATAAACACTGGACACGGGTCAACAAATAAAGCACTTTTGCGTCTTACAAGCAACAGGGCAGAGCCCAAGCGTACGCAGCTGGGCTTTGTGCTACACCTGTGAATTTGTGGTGGGGTCCAAGTCCCTGCTGGGGAGAGTGTATCAGTGCTGGCTTTCCGGGGTGCGGTTTGGCAAAATGAAATTAGGATCCTTAACCATGGTCACAAACTTTCTGAACTAGTAACTCCTTTCTAGACCCCTCTTAAGGAAATAAACCAACAATGGAGATTTATATATAACTTTTAAAGACGCTGTATTTACCACAAGGGGAAAAAGTTGCAAGGAACACACACACACACACACAAAAGACCAAAAAAAAAAAAAAAAAAAAAAAAAGGGAAAAAAATAGAAAAAGAAAAGAAAAAGAAAACCCTAAACAAACAAAAACCCCCAAACTGTATTCTAAGAGAATGCCAGCCATTAACTTCTGGGTAAAGGATTTAGATGGCTGTTATCTTTAAAATTTTTTAAGTCAGGGGCTGGAGAGATGGCTCTTCAAGAGGTCCTGAGTTCAATAACCAGCAACCACATGATGGCTCACAATCACCTATAAGGAGATCTGGTGCCCTCTTCTGGCCTGCAGGCATACATGCAGGCAGAACACTAAATACATAATAATAATAAATAAATAAATCTAAAAAAAAATTTAAGTCAGAGCTGGTAGTGGCACACACCTTTAGTCCCAGCTCTTAGGAAGCAGAGGCAGATGGATCTTTATGAGTTCGAGGCCAGTCCGGTCTACACAGTGAGTTTCAGGACAGCCAGGACCACAGAGAGAAATCCTGTTTTGAAAACAAAGGGAAAAAAAAAAAAAAAAAAAAAAAAAAAACCAACCAACCAACCAAACAAACAAACAAAAAACCCCAAAACAAAACAAAAAACCTAGGCTGGAGAAATGGCTCAGAGGTTAAGAGCATTGATGCTCTTCCAGATGTCCTGAGTTCAATTCCCAGCAACCACATGATGGTTCACAACTATTTGTAATGAAATCTGGTACCCTCTTATGGCCTGCAGCCATACATGCAAGCAGACCACTGTATACACAATAAACATTAAAAAACAAACAAACAAACAAAAAACACAAAAGTTTAACATCAGACTTGGTGGGTCACTCCTAATTCTAGCACTTGTGAAACTGAGGCACAAGGGTACTGGAAGTGTAAGGCCACCCTAGGTTACAGATCAAGACCCCGTTTCAATAACAATAAATTTCACTGTTTGTGTAATTTACACATTTTTCTCCAGTAGTCAGGATTTACCTAGTCAAAAATGTACAAAACTTACTTCCAAATGCATGGGTATGAAGAAGGAAGAAGGAGGGAGAGAGACAGAGACAATGAACAAAGCGAAGTGAGAGCTTTGTTAACCTAGGCCTCACCTTACTCAAACAGAAAACTGAGCCAGTCATTGACAGAATCAGAGCCCTTTCCCTGTTCTCCCCATGATCAGTAGGTAATTAGCTCAAGCTCTGGCTCTCTGGCCCAATGGCAATTCTGTATATTTTCCACAATTTTCCCCTGTGTGACTCAGGCCCAGAACTACCCAACCAACATCTGATCTGAAAATAACTTGATACTCACCCAACACAGCTGTAATTTTCCAGCCCTCATTTGCCATGTGGGGTTTAGGCAGAACACTGTCAGAACACAGCTGTTGAAGAATAGCTAGAATAGTGTGCAGTCTCCTTTCCTATTCTTCCCCCACCCAGGGCCCCTGCCTTTCAGAAGCCACAGGATACTTTTTTTTTTTCCAGACATTTTAATTAGAAACTATAAAACATCATTGAGTTCTCTATACAAATTTTGCACGGAATAGTTTAATATGATGCAAAGTAGTCTATATCTTTGGTCATCTTTCCAATCTTGTTACCTTTTCCCCACACAATATATTCTGATCATGTGCCCCAACCCCATCTCCTTATTTTATTTCATTGAGGCAGGGTCTGTTTTCTAACTCAAGGAGGTCTTGAACTTCTGATCCTTCTGCCTCTGCCTCCAGAGTGCTGGGATTAGACTTGTGTCACCATGGGGATTTTATACGATGCTGGAGATGGAACCCAGGGCTTTGTGCATGTAGGCAAGCACTCTACCCACTGAGCTATGTCCCCAGCCCTCTCATAACCTTTTTGAAATTGAAATCAGAGACCATTTTTTTTATTGAAATCTCCAGAAAAAGACACAGGCAATATAAACAGTTGTACATGTGAAGTGAGAGAAACTAGTACTAGGGAATTTTTTTTTTTTCTGCTTGAATACTTTGTTTTTAAAACTCTTATTCTGCTCAATCTGACTGAAAGGTGCTCTGGAAGTCAGAACTGAGTCTCCAAGGTAAACTAAGACATATTCTGATGAGCATGTTTGGGGACAGACATGAGGCATGGGTGGTAGGGGTAGGTATGTCCTTCCAGGGCTAATGACATGGTGGAGTCACAAACAGAGCCACCTGTCCTTTAAGACTGCACAATTGCTTAACACAAGAATGAGGCCAAATAACAGTTTTCTATTCAACACAGAAGCTTGTTCTGGCCATGTTCTGTGCCCATACTTCTTTAGATTACAGGGTTATATGCGGAGCTGCCTGCCACTCTGTTAGATGCTCTGCTTAGCCCCCTCTTTACTTGCTGCTCCTCATGCTTCCTCCAAAGCCTCCTCTCTGCTGAGTATCTTGTTCTTTGGTTAAGGGAACTGTAAGCAACTGAGTTTTCAGCTCAGCCACCAAATAAACCCTGTAGTTGTCAGGCAATGGAAGCCAACACCATCACCAACCCCTCTGTCACCCATATCCTTTCATAAAGAGGGAAGGCCATCAAAGAAGAAGAGTGGCAAGTGGCCAGGCTGTTGGGTGAGGGCCAGAGAGAAAGAACCTGTTGTTAGAAGCCCGACATCCTTCCCTGCTGCTGGGGAAAGGGGGGAAGACAGAATCAAACAGCACTTCTGACTTCAGCTGTCATCCCAGGGGCACAGACAGAGGGCAAGAAACAGGGCACAGAGCCAGCCACAGAAGGGCAGGAACAGAGGGCTGTTCAGCTGGGCTGATGACAGACCCCCATCTATTAGCCTGAAGGCAGGTGTCTGGTCCTCTTGCCCTGAAGTTACCCAACGGCATGCACATGTTTCTGGGGCTCTTATATTTAGGCTCTGCCCTGCCCCCTTCAGTTCTCCAGTTAAAGGCTTCAGTTCTGGAAATCAAAGTTCTGAATGGGCATTGTGTAGACACCTAAGAGTAGAAAGTACTAGAGACTTGCATATTTCTTGTGAGAGCCCTGAAGAAGCTAAAAAAGAAACTTACACTGGGGGGAGGAATGCACAGGGCATCCAGTTCAAAAGAGGTAAAGTCCTTGATTGACCAGAGATGGGACTCTTTCAAAGATGTATGAGCTGATTACAGTTTTTTTCTTGAAATTCAAGGCCAAAGCAAAACCAAAACAAAACAAAAATCATAGCCTCTAGTAACCCTGTGACCTTTCCACAACTCGTTGTCATCCTTGTAGATTTCCTTGGTGCTCTGAAGGCATAGGGTTTGTGCAGAATAATGTTGAAAGAACCGTTCTTCGCCTCTGAGGGGAAAAGCATGCAAGCCTGAAAGTGTCCAGCAGGCTCTTTGCAGAAATGTTGTGAAATGACGGTTCTCAAAAGACGGGGATGAGGTAGCCATGGTCCCTCAGAGTCTTCTGATGTGGTCTTCTCAGGATAAATGCTCTTTACCCAGCTCTCCCTGGGGCATGGCTATAGGAATGGAGGTTACTACTTGGTTCTGAAATACGAAGATTTTGATTCTTTCAAACACCCAGATGAAGATGAGCAGGATGCTGACATATTGGACCCAGGCAAACTTTATCATCTCCCAGAAGCCTGGCTGGTAAGTACAAAATGTTAAGGAGGCAATGGCTACATGTAAGAAACAGTTACTCCAAAGTTCAGGTCAGATGGGAAACAGAAAGAATATTTCAAATACTCTTCAGATAAAATGGATAACCAGAGATTATTAAAATTATTCTGACTCAGAAGATAAAATTATTCTGACTCAGGAACAGGAAATGGATTTTTCTTTCCTGTGGGAATAGCAGTTATTTGTATGGGGTCTACAAAGCTGCAACAATTTCCTATTTTGTGAGTCCCACATCTGTTCCTACTTGGTATAGCTAAGGAACCCTTCCTTTCTTAGTGGAAATGAGCCACCACTGACTGGCTAACAGAAAGGATATGAGATGACTTCCACAGGATATCTGATGATAGCATTGATTACAAAAGGAGCTTCGGCAGCCCTGCCCACCAGCCAGATTGGGTTGGGGTCACTCAGGAAAGTGGTAACTGCAACATAAACTTTAATCATTAAACCAAAATAGAAGTGGTCTTTGAATACAAGAGGATATTCTGCATTTCAGAACACAAAGAAATAAAAAGAGCAATTGAATATGCAAAGTTGCTCACACACTATTTAAAATACTTTTGCTACAATGTGTCAAAAACATTCAAAGAGCTAACTGGAGAAATACTGTTTGTAGAAAAAGTATCGGTTAAAATGGTGTAGCAGTCTGGCAATGGTGGTGCAAGCCTTTAATCCCAGCACTCAGGGAGACAGGTGGGGGATCTCTGTTTGAGGTCAGC